TAAATAGCCATTTATTACGTCACAATCTTCCAAACGTCTGAACCCTCCCATCTTTTTATCTTCAAAACTCATCTTCAATTTTTCGATTACAAATTGTGTCCTCTCGTGTTATCCACTCATCACTGTAAAAAGTGATCAGAACGCGTGTTACATGAGCATTAATATTGGTCACTCATGTCGTATCAGCACATAAAATGCTATTTTGTGCTATACAATCTATCTTGATGTACTCTAAATCTAACAAATTAGATTGATCACCCTTTGAAAATTTGCAAAATTTCTTGATGAATGTTAAAAGGCAAAGTTTTTTTTTTTTTCGTAATATATGAACTGTAGTTGATTCCCTAAAAAAGGAGGCCAGAAAAAAACCTTTCTCGTCAAAGTGTCTGAAAAGGGTGGCTTGCTCTGCTCTGCTGAAGATCCTTTTACCATCAAGGAGATCAAAGACCATCATCATCAGCAGCAGCAGCAGCCTCCAACTTGTCAAAACGAAGAGAAAAGAAAATGACCATCAAATCGATACCGCCACAAAGATGTCACAGCAAAAATTGGGGATCGAATCACCCGGTTGACTGTAAAGCGCAAAGTCATAGGATCGTACGGTCTGTATTTGACAACGAGCTGCGATCACATTCCATCCATCCCCTCCGGCACCGACGACGTCACAGCATTTGTTACCAGGTGGGTGTCACAGCTTGCCGAGCTGTGCTTCAATGAGACCCACCCCGAGGAGTGACGGGGCTGTGACGTGAGGGCCAGTACTCGAAAGCGGCGCCGTCGCCACAGTGGCCACATCATAGCACGTTGCATGTCAACACAGTCAAATCTTGAGTCTCTCTCTCTCTCTCTCTCTCTCTCTCTCTCTCTCCAAATCTAAGAGTTCAGCCAGTCTCAAATCATATCTCCAGAAATGGCTGCATGGGCAATCATTTGAGAGCATCTTGCTGGCAAAGCTTGCCATAACTTCTCTATATATTTGCAGGAGCATGTCTCTGCTTAACCCCACAGCTTCACCTTCCTTCTGATACCTCTGTGAAGGCTTTTCTCTGTGCAGGGGATCATGGCTTCCAATTCTAAGCTTGGCCTCGTTGTTGTTGTAGTCACCCTCTGCGTGCTCCTTCTAATAGCAGCGGCTTCTGGTCAGTTAGCGGTTATTCTCTGCATGTGTGTTTTTGTGGGAACCATTTTTCATCGTTAACGTTCTTGCAGATTGCGAAGCAGGACGTCATGGGCGCTTAAATGCAATGGCTGGGAGTTTCCTGAAGAAGGACAGCAGAAAGGTGAGAGCTTTCACTTGTTCAGTGTTGTTAGCGTTGAATGAACAAATCGGTAAAGAAATGCATAGTATAATGTGTTGGGCTTTCTTACAGATACTGCGGGCTTTTGAGAAATATGGAGGGAGCAAGATCGCCAATGGAGAGTTGAGGGGGGTCCCTTCAGGCCCTGATCCACTGCACCACCATAAGGGCAGTCCTCAAAGGCCACAGACTCCTTGAAAAACCCTTAGCTAGCTCCTTGTATCAGCAACACTTTCTTCAGACTCGTGTATTTTTGAGATACTGATGTGTCATCTGTTAGCTAGTGCTTAAATATAGCCTTATCCTCAAATAGCCAATAGATAATTAAGGGAAAGTAACTTTTCTGTTTGGACGAGAAGATGAAGAAGTTAGTGTATTATGGGTTGTCTGTGGTTCCTTTGTGTTTTACCTTGTTTGGGAAAGTATGAACATGTGTTGATGTTAGTCAAAATTTCGTTAAATTGTTTGCAGATGAGTACATGGTGCATATTTCGGAGTTAACCCTTTTCAGTAATACCAGGGAAAAAGGGTGACGTAAGTGTGTGAGTACTGCAATAACTAACCTTGAGCTGCTGCAGAGAGAAGATAAGGGGAGGGGAGAGATGTGACATTAATGATGATGTAGATAGTGATAGGCCGTAGAGTGAAAGCACTCATTACAAACAGAGGATCAACAGATAATTTATCCAAGTAAAATTGACCTTTGCTTCTGGTTTACTTTTTGAAAAAAAATCGCTAACCGGTACTCATTTCTGATTGAAAATCTTGACTTGATGGGCGAAACTCGAGTACTAACTGAGAATTGTTCTCTAAACTAGTATTCATTTATGCAGTTCCCACAAATAAGCCACCATCCTTATCAGGCACAAAGCTTTAATTATCCAAGTAGCCAATGTTATCAAGTGAAGAAACTACAAAGGACGGTTATTTTCACACGGACATAGTCAAATCTCAAAACAAATTGCTTGTTCCTCCCCGTTACATATAGATGCTTTCACATATCCATTACTTAAATTCTACTTCAGTCCAAAAGAAATTGAGGAGATTGCTACTCTTATTGATTAGGATAATTGCTACACTTCGTATAACAATTAAAGATACAAATATGGTCTCCAACAGAGTTAAAGAAACATTTATCAATCGTTCTCATATAATTCTTTTGCAATGATCGGAGGTGCATACCATACTTTCATAGCAGATGACAAAAGATCTAGCATCTGGTATATGCACTCGGCCTCAGGATGCGATTTATCACCAGCCACAAAATCATGATTAATACTACCAATCTCGATCGAGCTAAATCCTGGTGTCTTTTGGATACCAAGCGTCTTCATTTTCCTCCTGATCTTATTCGCACCATCCCAGCTTCTATCTGCAGCATATATATTCGCGAGGAGCACATAATTCGAGTCAGAATCAGGGTCTGGATCAACTGCATACTTTGCCAACCTTTCCGCTAACTTGACGTCCTCATGAGTCCTGCAAGCAGCCAACAAAGATCCCAACACAACATCGTTTGGTTTCATGGGCATATTTTCTATGACATTTAGCGCATCCTCCAACCTGCCTGCACGACTATAGAGATCCACCAAGCAACCATAGTGCTCAATTCTGGGCTCAATTCTATGAACATTCTTCATGATATGAAAGTACCCTAGTCCTTCATCAACTAAACCAGCATGACTACAAGCAGTGATTGCTCCTGTGAAACTAACTCCGTCGGGCTTGAATCCTTCCTCCTGCATTTTGTTAAATAACTCCAGAGCCATCTCAGCATGCCCATTGGCCGCGAACCCCGCAATTATAGTGTTCCAGGACACGAGAGTTCTCTTTGGCATTTTCTCAAATATCAGGTGAGCATACTCAATACACCCGCACCGGGAATACATGTCCATTAGGGAGTTGCATACCCTTATACTTTCCTTGAAGTCTTGCTTCATGACAAACCTATGTATCCACAAGCCCAAACCAAGCGTCGCCAAGTTGGCGCACGCAGATATTGTGCCTATAACCGTGACGAAATCAGGCCGCACCCCAGATAGTTGCATCTCGCGAAACAACTCCAACGCTTTGTCGAAATGACCAGTCCTGACAAACCCATTAATCAGAACAGTCCACGTTACAGCATCTCTGTGTGGCATTTTGTCGAACAGGTCTATCGCCTCCCGCATCTCACCCTTCTTCACATAGCCATCCATCATCGTATTCCAAGTAACAGAATTCCTCACCCCCATCCGATCAAAAACCATCCTGGCCGACTCCACGCGATCCATCTTCGCGTACATGTTAAGGACAGCCGTGGCCACCATCACGTTTTCCGCGACCAACCCCAGCTTCCGAGCATACCCGTGAAGCGAAGCTCCGAGGAACTCGCTGCCGGACGGGAAACCAGCGCAACCCGAGAGCAGCGTGACGATCGTGACGTGGTTGGGCTCCACCCCGGACCGCATCATCTCGGTAAAGACTCCAACCGCTTCGGCTAGCCTGCCGTCTCGAGCGCAGCGAGCGATGGAAGCAGTCCATGAGACGGTGGGGTCAAGGGATCGAGCGGGCTTGTCGAAGGAGAGGCCGTGCCTTGTCGCGGCGTGCGTCGGCTTCGGAGGCTGCGGCGGTTGGTGGAGCTTGGTGGAAGCAGCGACGGCGGGGAAGGCGGGAAGGCTCATGCTAAGTTCAAATTACCGTTTCATAGAAGAGAGGGGGTTGGTGGGTTCCGGCGTTGTTCATTTGGCTCTTTATAACGTTAGAGGCTGATTTTCCTTTCCTTTTTAATTTTTTTCAATTTTTTTGTATAATGGGTTTCACTATCTAAATCAAGTTAAAAAATATAATCATGTTATGATATAATACACTGAAAACTATGATCAATAAATTTATAAATTATTCTTAATATTCATATAATCAAGGGTATTCTTTCATTTACTTGAATTCTAAACGAAATGGACAATTTACACTAGCTATAAAAAGAGCATACATATCTATGTATCAAGAGAAACGAATTTTTATCTCTCACAGAGTTTGCGTAAAATTTTGATCACACAACATAATTTTGCTTATAAAAGCTAATCTGGATAAATGACGTGCATACTTTGCATAAAGAAAACTTTATGCAGGTTGTGTACGGACCGATAAATATTTACATCGTCTCAATTGCTTAATCATCGCGTTGTCAAAAGTCTATTTTGGTGCTTGTCCTACCGCTACATTTAACAAAGAGCAACAAACGGGATTAAATTAGTAAAATTGAATTGTTAACAAGAGCTCCGTTGCACTAATAAAGCATTATAGACTAATAAAAGTTTCTAGTCAAAGCTTGTCCCTCGAGAAATCATATAGTAGCAAAATAAAAAATAAAAAATGAGCAAATAGAAAAAGAATCTACAATTTACATCAAAAGAATTATCTTGTTTAGAATCTGTTCTCTCATTTGCAAAGAGCAATTCCTTCTTCCCATTCACTAGAACAAAAGAAGAGTTCCTTCCAGCAAAGTGAAGCACGTGCCTCTTAGCCCCTATCTACAAGTAGTTTGAATAAACAGAAGAATCTCATTCAACACCATCCAACATTTTCCCAATGCTGACATATATTTAGGCAAGATCATGCCATGTTCACGGATGAACAGTTGATTCGAGAGTCGGCGTCGAACTATCAGAACTTGGAAAGGCTGTTGGGACAGGGAGGCAGCGGCGAGAATGCGAACGCGAATTGCGGCGGAAAACCATCAGGTAAAACATTGAATAACAATGCCAGTTCTTCAGACATTTCACTAAGTACAGATGCTGCAACAGATGAGGCTTAATGACATAACTTCGACACAATAACAACTTGAAAAAGCATATTTGTAACTAATCGGATTGACGCGACACAAGGAATCATTCTCAGAAGGAATTTAACCGTGAGAAACCGGTAACCAAGACCATGTATAGTAAGAGAACAGATAGAGAGTCCGTTATTTACAGTAATCAAACCACCTTGTTCATCGCCCATCAGCTGAAGTGAAGGACTCGGCAAATCCAGCGGGCTTAGCGGGGATGCTCCCCGAGCTGTCCCCTAGAGTTCCGATGCTCGACCCTTTGCTTTCCGCCTCCTGCCACACTTTCAACAACTCGGGAAGCGGCACGTTGTAATCGATTCCTGAAGTGTCCTCCAGCTCGTCGCTCATCGGCTTCCATCGGTCGACTAGCGGGACCAGCACATTGACCACGTGGCTCATGTCGGGCCGATGGTGAGGCTCTCTAGCAGTGCAGTGTCCGGCAAGTTCGGCCACAATGGAGATGCTCTCGAGAGCTTCTTCGGTTTCGTTGGCTGCTGGGTCAAGGGCTGCTACGAACTTCTCCTTGCTAGATCTGATTCGCCAGAACCACTCGGCCAGATACCTGCTTTCCTCCGAGCGCTCCTCGTCGAGTGCTGTAAGTCCGGTCAGAAGCTCCATTAGTACCACACCGTAGCTGTAGACATCGACTTTTGTTGTGATCTTTCCCATAACTGAAACCAAAAAGAAAATGAGAGTAAGCTCGTGTACCCATTAGCTGTGAAAGCAATCTTGAGATGATTTTACATCAATCAAAATGATCAACTTGTAGCCGAGATTGCCATGAAATGATTTGACATTAGTTCAAGTGAACACGTTCCTCTGAGGCAATGTAAACAAGAATGAGAGATTCAAGCAATAGTTCCCTACCAGCATATTCAGGTGCGAGATACCCAAAAGTCCCAGCGAGCTGGGTCGCAAAAGACCTCTCTCCATCAGGAGCGAGTTTAACCAATCCAAAATCCGAGACCTTCGCTCGGAAGTCATCGCCTAGAAGAATATTCGAAGACTTCAGATCTCTGTGTATGAACGTGTGCTGGGCCAGGCTGTGCAGATACTCTATCCCTCGGGCCACATCCAAAGCGATCATAAATCTCTTCCTCCATGTAAGAGGCTCCAATCGGTTCGCCTTCCAGTGAAAAAGATGCCGACTAAGAGCTCCCTGCGGCATGTACTCGTACACCAGAAGCCTCTCACTTCCTTCGATAGAGTAACCCAAAAGAGACACCAAATGCCGGTGCCGAACTTTGGACAGCACGGCGATCTCAGATCGGAACTCGTCCAATGCTTTACTGCAGATCAGATTAGATTCCATCCTCTTGACAGCAATTTCAGTCCCATCACATAGCTCTCCCTTATAAACCGTCCCGAAGCCACCTCGTCCGAGCTCGTTTTCAGGTGCAAAATTTTTCGTCACCTTGCGTAGGTCTTGGACAGATATGCCGAGATTTCCGACCTCAATTGAACGTGAATTTTCCGTTCCGTTACTGAGTGTGCTCAAGGAGCTGGTCCCGGAATGGGTGAACAAGCTTGTCTTGGTATTATTAGAAAATTTAATCTTGAATTTATTCTCCAGACCTGAAGTTTCTCTAGGATGAACGACAGTGGAACTCGGAGCCTCGGACACATCTTTCCTCTTCTTGCGGCAACAGATGAAGAGAATAATCATGAGAAGGACAAACGTGAGGATTAGAGTAGGAACCAACAAAAGGATTTTGACTTTTTTGGTTCCTTTGGGTGGAGATTGCGCTCGACTAGAGCTTGACCCGGCAATTGTGGAAGGTGAGATCTCAGGTTTCGGTGGAGATGGAGAGTTTTCTGGCAATGGGCTGCTATTGGGAGGCGGTGACACAGCGGGTGTGGTTTTATTGCGGACCAGGAGAGGGTTTCGATTAATGATGACCTTCACTCCATTGCGGAACATGGGCAATGGTGGATCAAGATTGTTCCCGCTCAAGTCCAACAACCTCAAAGACTTCAACTCAGTATAGTTTTCGGGGACTCTGCCATGTATGTTGTTGTCTCCGAGCCTAATTTCGAGCAACGAATCTAAGTTTGCAACGGAAGCACTCAGAGTGCCGTTGAGGTTATGCCTCGGCAAATTCAAAATGGATGCTTTCGACTTTGAATTGCAGCTCAATCCGAACCAGGGCCCTTCACATGGACTATTCCCGGACCAACGAGTAACAAGACTCTCAGGATACTCAACACCCCCAAGAAAATCCAAGAGTGCATTAACTTCAGGGGCACATTGCATCCCAGGTTCGGGTAGACAAAAGAAATTGGAATCATAAGTAACATTGCGTACCTTAAATTTTGGGATCGGACCCATGAACAGATTGTTGTTCAAGTCAAGTTTCTCCAGCTCCATAATGGCCAAGCTTTCGGGAATTAGACCAACAAGTTTGTTCCTGTTGAGATTGAGGTCCTTCAGAGAAGTCAGAGCTCCAATGTTCTCCGGAACCGTGCCGGTGAACTGGTTTCCGTGAAGCCACAACTGCGTGAGGGACGCCATCGAAGCAATCACATCAATTTTACCGCCAATGCCGCCGTCATTTTGGTCGTTCAACCACAAAATCTGCAGCATAGATTGACCGAAACTCCCAGGAAGCTCACCGGACAGATTGTTATACGAAAGCTTCAGCACCGTTAGGGACGGCATCGCCCCTAAAAACTCCGGCAGCGGGCCGACCAAGTTGCAATTCATCAGGGAGAGATTCGTCAACTGAACAGATTTCGTCAATTCAACCGGAACAGACCATCCAGAACTCATATTCAAGGGGTTATAATCCAAGGCCAACACCTGCAAACTGGTTAGGCCATCAAAAAAATCCGTGGGGATCGCCTCGAAGCCATTGTAATCCAAATAAGCATATTGCAGCTCCGTCAATCCGCTAAAACTGGGCAATGCCCCAGACAAACTGTTCCTCTGGAGGCCTAAGTTGGAGAGCATTGAAAGCTGATTAAAACTTGGAGGCAATTCGCCTTTCAGACCCAACCCTTTGGCCTGTATTTGGGTGACTCTTTCGCCAGAACAGTAGACATAGGGCCATTTGGGAGGGCCACAAGGGTCATCCCCATCAATTGGCCACTCAAGGAGCTCTGGGTTCTCCAACCCTTCTCTGAAATCATTGAGGACTTTGAGGTCATTAGGGTCGGTGACACCGCACGCCAGTGTAATCAGGCTCAAATGCAAGGCAATGCACAGGTCTCTCCTAATATCAACCATCTTCCCCGGCTAAAGAAAACCATCAAGAATCTAACAGAGACAACATAGCCATAGTACAGCTTCAAAAGCGCAGATGGGCTGAGACAAAACCCCCAGAAAGAAAAAGAAACAGGAAAGAAGGAACAAAATGAGGAAGAAGAACCGAAGCCGAGGACGAGGAAGCACCCTATGTAACAAAAAGGGACAATTTCTCTCGGGAAAATGTCTAAGAATCGTACTGTAACAAACGAAGTCAGATCAAAAGCAAAAACGAAAGAAATGGGGTCTCCAAGCTGAGTAAAAAGACAGTCGCTCAAGATCAATCTTTTCGCTTTGGAAGATTTTATCCATTTCTTGGCACCTGACACCCCCAAGTTAAGGGGAACAGTCCCCCATGACTGACTCTCTCTCTTTCTCTCTCTTCTCAGTTTTCGAATTATTACTTTTTTCACGTGGAAGTATTACTGCCTTTTTTCACGTAAAGCTTTGATTAGCAGGCCTGTGACCGACAGTGATGATGGTGAAGCAATCGTATGGTTTGGAAGCATGAGAGAGCACATGTTCTTCTTTGGCGGCAGAGTCATGGACCATCTTGGGTACCCCTACAGAGAAAAATGAAATCTTGGCACGAAATCAATTAATTTTCTCAGGGGTCCCGCACTAGGGTTGGCTATGATGCCGGCTAATTAAGGGAAGCTGGGGGATTCTCCGCTGATTTCGGTGGGGGGTAGTACACAACACGCGGAAAATTTCATGCTTTTTGGCACATAACTCGTAAAGTTCCCATCTTTACAAAGCCTCGGCTCATCGAGCTAGGGGATGCTGCAACAACTGCTGCATTGTCTTGCTAGAGGTTACATCCTGGTCGCCACGAGCTCATTCCACATCCCTTTGTCATTCTCACCTGAATATCATCATCTTCTTCTTCTCTTTTCTTTTTAATGGCACTGTTAGCTTCATGGGACCTTTGCATCTTGCGTCAAAACCAGATAAAACCGAGTCATTTCCTCACTATAAACATTCTTAACGAATTGGCTGATCCTTTTTTTGTCAGATCGATATGTAGACGAGGGCAAGCACGAAACACGAAGGATTCCCGTACTTTGTTTGATCCATGTCACAGGCTAAGGAAGTCGGCATAACCATTAGGACTAGACGTTAATCATCGCTTCCTATGTGTAAACCTATGTATGGACACTCGCATGTGGATCCATTCAAGAGATCTTGCATTAGCTTCCTGTATGTGGTGACCGATGATCTGGAGATAACGCAGAACGCATGATGAATTATTGTCCTTTCTGTGCAGTTGTAATGTCCCCTTCAGTCTTCAAATTTAGTGGATTTGGACTAATCGCCAGGAACAAAACACTTGTCACTGACTTAACTCCAAATGCCATGTCTGGAACCCCACCAAACCACCTCAACCGAAGGCTCTGTTTTATTTGGTTATCTTTACTAGTCTTCGTGGAAAGAAACAGTCAGCATTCACTTTCGTCAACCACCTGATAGCAACCTCCAAAAAGTAAAACAGACGGGAAGCGAGAACATGTCACAGTAACATCACGTTCAGCTCTAAAAAGGCTTGACATTAAATCAACATAGAGAGAGAGAGAGAGAGAGATTGAAAGTGGCAACTTGCATATGCATGGGGTTAACAGCAACAGCAAGATTCATACGGAACGCCTCTAGTCATCTAATCTATTCCGAAATTAACAAAAGATCAAGAAGATATCTTGTGCTATGTTTGAAAAATGAAGGAACATATAGAGTATATATGAGCAAAAATAACAAAACCAACAAATGCATTCATCTATTAATTTCTGGGATCTTTTGTCATTTGACCCTTTCACTACAATATGGATAGGCCCAAAACCAGTGATACTACATGAAGACAATGATCTAACAACTTTTTTTGCCGGAAGGTTGAATTCACGATGTTTGTCCTCATCTTTCTCAATTATCTAATTCATCCTCACACTTCTGAATTTTTGCCGATTAGTTCCTTTCCTTCCCCGCGTCATTTCTTCATCACGGCGCAACCAAACAAGGAATCGAAATACTCTTGTCGATCCACTCCGTTGTTATAATAAGAAACGACCACTAAATTATTAAGGTTCTGAAATGCTATAATAGTTCTGACAACCTAGATTCACAAACTCTCGGCCAGAAAAGAAAATTTAGAAATCACAAATTTCTTCATATTAGCTTCTAGTTCTATCTCAAATGAAGTCCTACAAAAAAACAAAATATTCAAACTAGATTTGGGGACATTGTACCAATAAAGTGAAGTGATAGGGCAACATCTCCGTATCAATGGTCCTTGAAAAAAGGTACCTTATCTACAAGGTACCTTTTGATTGAGTCAACCACCTTCACAGGAAAAGCCTCATCTTCTGGGTAATAAGCGATTGGATCAGCTAATAGTGGATCTGGAAGATCAAGAATGCCTTCCAGCGTGGCGTGGAGGCAATAAGCTGAGTAGGTAACATGATATCCACCTTCTTGGACAATGAGAATGCGGCCTCCACTGTGCCTATCTGCGAGGCTGTGAATTGTTCGACCAATCGCCCGATATCCATCCATTGTCAAGCACAGCCTTCCATTTGGATCGAACTACAGTGCCAAAGACAATAATCATCATGTAAAACATTCTGGTAAAACAAAGACAAGTAAAAGATTATTGTAGGCAAAAGGACACTATTAGTGCCATAACTTGTGTACGGAGGTCACTTTGGTGCCATAACTTTTTTTCAGATTACTTTGGTGCCAACTTTTTTGAAAAACGATCACTTTAGTACCAATGCTGACATGGCTTGCCGGAAATCCTACGTGGCGCTGACATGGCTCGCCGGAGAGGTCAATGGCTCGCCGGAGAGGTCAATGGCTCACCGGAGAGGTCCAGTTAGCATTAAAAACCAAAAACGACGCCGTTTAGTCCGCTGACGTGTACTTTTTTAGAAAAATAAAATTTATTAATTTTTTCTTTTCTTTTTTTTCTTCATCTTCAACCTCTGGCCGGTTGCCGGACCGGCGACCGGCCAGAAGCGGAAGCCGGCGAGGTCGGCCCCGCCGGCTGCTGGCGAGGGCAGCCCTCGCCCGACGCAGGCGAGGTCGGCCTCGCCAGATCTGGCGAAGCTCGCCGGTGGCTGGCGGGGCGAGCTTCGCCAAATCTGACGAGGCCGACCTCGCCGGTGGCCGGCGGGGCGAGCTTAGCCAGGCCGACCTCGCCTTTGCTGGGCGAGGCGCCCTCGCCCAGCCAGGGGCCGGCGAGGCTTGCCCTCACCGGCCCTCACCTTTGGCCGGCGACTGGCGACCGGGAAAAAGTTAGGAAAAAAAAAAGATTAAAAAATTCGAAAAAAAGCCACATAATTTCCACGTGTACAAGTCAGATCATTTTTTTTAAATATAAATGCCACATCAGCTTTTTGGCTGGAGTCACTAAAGTGATCTATTTTCCTCCGATTTGGCACCAAAGTGATCCGAAAAAAAGTTATGGCACCAAAGTGTCCTCCGTACACAACTTATGACATTTCTGGTGTCCTTTTGCCGATTATCGTATAGACAGAAGTCTTTTTGGATCTAAGCCAAATATCTCAGTTCAAGTAGCTATCCACATAAAACTTAATCAATATAAGGTTCTGTATTTTCAACTTTGGGTCATAGGGATGAACTCTCCAATAAGCACATCCTACTCCCTTGACCAAAAAAAAAAAATATGCACATCCTACTCCTTATTTTTGTACATTCACAATTTGTGGATTGTGGATCCAGTGAAAAGATGGGGTGAACAATGAGCTCTTAACAATCACAAACAAAAATGTCACCAAGTTTGGCAATTGTATGAAACAACGCATCCATTGTTTTCTGGACAATTGTAGCTTGCATTGATGGATCTAAGGATGCTATAAAGTTTAATGGCCTTATTGTGCTTCCACTAGAAACTTATGCGACTGCAACAGTTTTCATGAAAATCAGAGGATGCTTATTTCACAGTCTTAAAAGCACCCTAAGCTCTCATCACGAACAAGCATTTTGGCTCGAAAGAGAGAAAAAAAACTCATCCTTATCTGAGAAATGGTCTCCACTTCAGGAAGATGTTGCTTTGAACTGATTAAGGTGACATTCTCCTGAGTAACAGCTTGTACCATATCCTAAATCTCAAGATCACGAGGCCCTTTTACATTAACAGCAGTAGTTCTACATTCGTGCTCCAATTCAGGCTAATTTTCTTCAAAAACAGCTTCTCAGGACTTTTATAGTAATGTCATAAGTATTTCTAAGCCTTCATCCTTTTGGTTATAACAAGCTTTCATCCTTACATGAGAAATATAGCTCAGCCATAGTACAAGATTGACAGTACTATGAGATTACTATAGAAAATGATTCTTGTTAGAATGAAGTAATTATCTCCCGTAAGTGAGGCACAACCCACAGCATGTTGCCCCAGAAGCAAAAATCCCACAGTTCATGTTTTGGAGAATCACCTAGCTTTCTTGAGCAAATAGAAAGAGATTCTTTAACCACAAAAATGTAGATCTAGATAAAAGGAGAAAAAGATTCTCATAAAGTGCGACTCTATCACATGTGTAGCTCATATTAAAAGTTAAATGAACGTTCAACTAACATGTAACTGACTTGTTTAGTAGTTCTATGACTCCCAAACAGTATATTTCTATGCACAGTAGCATACACCAACCTAGCAAATTCAGTTCCACATCAATTACTGAAGAAAGTGCACCTGCATGTATCGGGTAAGGTACTAAAGAGGATCTACTTACCGCACTAGAGTCTTGGCCAACAACAAGAACAATCATTTCTGGTTTGAAACTCTCCACAGCTGGCACAACCAGCTCAGTCATGGCATACTCGTATCCCCTGTCTCCAGTTCCATTTGGCAACGGAATGTTCATGTTATACCCATATCCTTCACCTTCACCGAGCTCATCAACAGATCCACTTTGCGGATGAGATGGACCCCATGACCCGTGATTCATGTGGAGAGAGATGGTAAGAACGTCATTGGATTGGTAGAACCCCTCCGCTGTTCCATTTCCATAGTGCACATCTATATCAACAACTACAACCCTTTTGCACCCGGAGTCCAATGCCAATCGAACTGCTAGACCGGCATTGTTTAGGAAGCAATACCCGTCAGCTTGAGAAGGCTGAGCATGGTGACCAGGTGGCCTCACTAGTGCGTATGCAATCTTCCCCTTACCATCGAGTATGTGCTTCATAGCAGACAGCGTGTTACCAGCAGCGAGAAGTGCGGCATCCCATGACCCAGGGTTCAAGAAAGTTCCACAGCAAAGAACTTTCCCTCCATTTTTATCAGCTTCCACTAGTTCTTTTATGTATTCTGGAAGGTCAAAGATGAAAATCACATCCGACTTGAGGTGGTTTTCCACATTCAACTTATTACCAACCCAATGCGGCTGGCATAGAAGGAACGCATTCGACAGCCTCACAAGTTAACTGTCACAACTCCAACTCCTACACCAAAAGTTCTGAGTGCAGACATTTTCCATTGCTCAGGTCAAAAGCTGAAACTAACATATTCAGAGATCCATATGCTATTCAGGATTTCGGTTATCTCGAGTCCCTTAGTATATTTTTTTTCTTACAACCAAGAAGCACCTTTCGGGTCATTATCAAATGACAGCATCACAAATTAATAAACTTCAGCACTAAAAGAAAATCTGAGCTTGCACTTCCATTCCTCCAACACTACAGAAAACCAAGCAAAGACCAAAATCTCTCTCTACCTACAGCTCACCCACAATCACTTGCAGCCTTTATCCACCGAATCACTGTTCTATTCATACGTATTCCAACCCAATCAAGCTTTCTCGCACAACAGCAAAAAACAAGAGAACAGAACATGGTACCAAGAGAGAGAATCATAGAAAGTACCTGGAGAGTGAAAAGAGAGGAGTTGAGAGATGAGAGCAGGCGTTGCGGCGTGCCAGGAGACGTAGAGAGAGATGGGTCCTCGCTTGAGGATCGAGACCATGTTTCGGACCCTGTCGGGGTTCTCCGGGTGCTGCTCGAGGACGTCCAAGAAGCCCGGGTCGGATCCCGTGTCGAACACGCCCCGACCCGTGTCGTGGCTCAGCATCCCGTCGTGCCAGAACGCGTCGACCCGGCTCGTCGGAGGAGAAGAAGAAGAAGCAGCCATTCGAGAGTTGAATTGCGAAGCAGGGGATGATGTCTCTGTCTTCTGTTCTGCGTATGGTATCACTCGGTAACAGGAAGTGTCTGCCTGTTTATGCTTTTTGCCTGCAATTTTTAAAATTTTCCTAGACGTTCTTTGTTATAATTATTCTTTATTTATGAGTATATTTCGAATCTTCTCATCTCTTTCAATTTGCCATTCACTCATTTGTGAATCTTTCCACCATGTATGATCCACCGATTGTCACACCATCTGAAAATGATGTTAAACCATATGATTGGATCCTTTTGATTTTCAAGAATAAATATCTAGTAGAGCAGAGTGGGACTGTGGTGATACTTAAGGCAAAGAAAAGGAAAGCTAATAAACTCAAAATGTAATGGTTAAGCATAAGTTTTATTCCAACTTTTAACACAGAACTGTGTTATGATGTGTGTTTAGCAAGATATAGGTAACTATCATCATCCGTTTCGCCCGGTTGTCGCGATACATCCTCATTTCTACTCGAACTCTGTGACTGCCCTTCAATGGTGATCATATGGTGAGTTATATCCTCATCAAGAAGCGGCCGAAGGGTTTCATCCTTGTCGACAGAAAGTGGCTGGATGGTTCGTTGGTGAATCATATGTCAACGCCCCAGTGACCGCAATGCTCCAGGCTCTGTGCACTTAAAACATGCTAGGGAGGCCAGTTCGTCAACGGCCTCAAAGATCTTCGGTAGGCATTCTGCGACATCGATAAGCAACAAAATGATAGAAATAGCTGGTATTATTTCAAAGAGATCTGCACCTTCCCACCAGCCCGATTTGAGCAGCGACTTGAGTTCTTCGGAAGCTGCCTTAGCGTTAGCTAGATGGATACCGACCAACGTCGATGGTCGAGTCATTTTCTGAATGGCTGATGCTATTTCCTTCAAACAATTGCCAGACCACACACAAATCTCCACGCAGGGTTCTTGAATTTTCCTTGGAACATTAGCGGGCACCTGTACATGTACTCGATGAGTCATTAATCATCAACGTTAACTCTAACCGATTTCATGGCCTATAATAGGAACAATTTACCCGGGAGATGGTTACACAATCTAAGAGAACCACCGACATTTATGGTTCAAAGATTTAATGAAGTCAGGTTACTGACTAGGTTTCGGCAAAGATTTGCACACAAGTGAGGGTAATAAGACTGCTTCTTATAGAATACTATACTCGCAACGGACCTGGGTATCGGAGTGCAGACAGCTGTCAAGAACTTCAATCTTGAAGGCGCACTGACGAGTTAGAGTTCCAATTTTCACATGATGCTCCCAAGGATGACGAAACCGGAATTGACCGTGACAAGGCTCCGATCTTGCAAAGTTAGCCTCCAAAGAAATGGAATCAGATTGACCTAAAATCTGAGTCCGGAAGCAGAGATAAACAACCCGTTTAATTACCAGCATCTCTTCCTTGTCTTTAGATGTCAACACAGTTCGATATGCTAATAGTCTGCCGTCTTCCTCGCATCGCACATTATCTGATAGTCTGAAGTACTTATCGCCAAATCCTGTAAGGTAAGGCTTTGTCAGTCCATCTCTGTTCCTCAAATGAAGCTCATTTCCAAGTAATTTTTCGAATTTGACCAAAACCTTCTAGGAAAAACCCGAGTTTGTCCATGTTTGTGGCGATCAGATCTTGAAGCTGCTCACTGCTCCAAATCGGGCAAATGCAGATGCACACGATGATGGCGGTGCAACTACCGAGAACGACGGTCGACACTCTTTGGAAGGCCATTGTGATTGCCTGATTCTCTTGATAACCGGATACGGATACCAAGCAGAAGGTCAGATCGAACATTATGAGCCCATAATTGTGCCTTGGCTTCATTTCAGGAGGAAATCTTGTAAATGTCACCAGAGCAGCTTCATAACGCCAAAAGCATTAGTTAAATTCATTAGTAATTGGTAGACGGGGCCAGTTTCTTCCTTGGCTTGAACAAACCTATTATGAAGACCGAGAAAGCTAACAGTATTGGCTCTGTGGTTGTTCCTGAACGAATCGCGACTTTGTGAGCTCCAATTCCTAGAGCAGCAGTTACACTTGTTGCTAACATCCTGTTCAATCCTTTCCCCAGCGTTGCTCCTGAAAAAAAGTTGAACAACAACGAAGTTTGTGCAAGTCCTATCGTGACACATTGTGATAGTTAGTGAACTATCGAAGCTTCTTACCAACAGAGAACTTGAACACGACCACAACCGTTAATAATGCCCAAATTGTGTTGATGCCAAAACCATCATAGAGCGGTCGGAAGTAGTAGAACAAGGAAACAAGTGTTGGAGCCAATCCGACCTTTAAGGAATGAATGATCTTTCTGGGATGATCCTGCACTAGTTCCTTCGCTTTCATTGCGATGAAAATCATTTTCGCTCATGTGTTCTTAGGCAAAGCCTTGACAGATTTGTAACCCCTCGTGAAAGGCCCCGCCTTCTCATTGTCATGAATAGTCGTCATTTCCATTGTTTCTCACGCAAGGTCCCAGCAACACTGCTCAGCAGAGCGAAAAAGCCGAGCAGTGTGTGGCAAAAGAGGCCAGATGCTGCATTAATAAATTTGGCAACACAGGCTAGATCCTAGGTTCATAGCTAAGCAGTTTTCGGGGTCGTGTTGCAGCAAAAAGAGGCTATGCATTTATAGATTTGGCAGAAGTTTGGCTGGGAATCATCAATCTCTTTATTTAGAAGGTGTTGACCAAACTTAATCTAGATGAAACTATAATTCACAGTTGGAATGTCCTATCACATGTAAATGGAGTCGATCTCCTTTATGCTTAGCCTCTTAATGGATCAAAGACAGAAAGATGGGGGAAATATGAAAGCTAAAGCACGATAGCGACTCGTGTTGCGTAAGACTTTGTACACATTGTCCCCGATTCGTGGCACAATTATATGGAGATGGATATGGAAATTTGGAAGGAACTGACATAACTATTAGATCTTCCCTCCAAATCTGGCCATCAATCCATGCATTTATTGCTATACTTTACATGTGACGGTTAGACTTTGCTTCTGGCCAGAGAGTTTCACAAAAAGCCTAGACTAGAGTGTATGCAAAGTGCGAGTGAGTTTGACTTGTCTCCTACTTTCAGAAGGCAAGAGAAGGTGATAGAGAAAACTCAGCTACCCAATTCGGGCTCATTCTTTGACACAGTGTGTCTGGTTTCGTAGCAGCATTTAGGACCAAGGGCTCTGTTTTTTTCGGAGGCAACCATTGTTGTCTAGTTGATATTCTAGTGGGCTTGTCCAATTTTGGGGAGTTTTGTTCAATGAACTGTTCCTCAGCCCAATAGACAACAATGGTCAAGACTGAGCCCAAGAATGGGATGACATAAAACCCCAAATCTCATATATTCTCCCTCTTTCATTTTGGTTTTGAATCTCTCATAGGTAGGTAAGTTCATTGTCAGACGATGACTAGGATTCTCACCACATCTAGTAAAGCTTAACATTATAAATTTAAAGAAAATAAATGAAATAGAATCAGCTATTTGTCACTACAAGAGTAATTGATTTATTTTTTAAGCTTTGTGGTTTTCGAATACCCTCAAACATAGGGTTATGATCTCCCATTCTTTTGGTTTTCAGTTGGTATTCAAGATCCTCTCTATCTGGAGAGTGAATTGTCAATTTTCAAATTACCTTTCCTTGATTAGATGGGACATCGACACATTTTTCTTTAAAAAAATGGATAGCACCTTAATTACTTTTTTCAAACTGTAATAATCTAAATCACTCATAACCCAGTAGAAACGAGTGATAACATGAATCTAGAGAAAAAAGTTACTAGATTTATAGGCACAAGTCGCACGTTACGAACACGCGGACTTGCATAATAACTGAGAAAAAAATTTCAATTCATTATTTCACATCCAAAGAGCTAAGCTAAATTACAATGAAAACATAAGCAATTTGTAGTTACAAACCCTAACAATTACAGGGAAACTAAAAATACAAACATGGAAACTGAATTAAGAAAAGATAAGCTAGTCTACTAAACTCAGTAGCTACTGAAATTAAATAGAAGCACATAAGTTATTAAGATATAATTGAAAACTCTAAAAAAACCCTAAATATAAGGAAAGTAGATCAAACTTCTATTTGCAATTACATCCACATTTTTGGATGCGATTGCAACTGCTGTGTGTGTGTGTGTGTGTGTGTGTGTGTGTGTGTGTGTGTGTGTGTGTGTGTGTGTGATTGAGAAAGGAGACAGATTGAAGATGTTGCTCTATTTCATAAATGAGAATTAAAACTTATACTACGTATCATTGCTGAATATTCTTTAGTGCATGAGTAACTTAATCAAATGTATCGCCATTCTTGGGTATCAAATCACAAATTCACAAATGCAATTCCTCTAGACTAATTCAAAATTTTGTGCATGTGTTGGCGCAAAATAAAAAGGTTACAAAGTTATTAATCTGACTAATTTTTTGAGTGGCTTAATGTCAGTCGAACCATAAACATCAAAATGATATTTATGCTAGTAAAAATCATCTTCAGGAACCCAAAGTCGAGTGATGATCAGTCAAGTCCATTCCAGGAATCTAACTGACTATTGTTTTATTTTCAGTGATCAAAATTGTTTCGTATAATTTTCCTCCAAATAATCTGGAAAATTTTTATCGCAATTAGCATGTAAGAGACGGTGATTTCTTTAAACTTTGTCGACGTCAGCACTTCGTCAGGTCATGTTAATCTTTTTTATTGTTTCATAAACTATTAATTTTTATTCTAATTGGGCAGTGGGCACTATCAACATTTAACAATGTCGATGGTAGTATCGCACTTGTACTCTCCTTTGTTTCTATCTTTTTGACTAATTTCTTGTTTTTGCTTGATCCAAGAATATGTCATTCTCTTTTATACCAACACACGAGCGCCCCACTAACAAAACTCTGACGTAAAAGTAGAATTTTGGTCTATTTTAATATTTTGATTTTTGGTTGCATATCTAATTCCAATGATGACTATGCCTGGTACGTCAAGATCTAAATAAAGAATAATTTCTCAGACAGGGAGACCTAATCTTCCCAACTTTTCTTCTATGTTTGTACTTATGTATGTTGGCGCAAAAAACAACTTGTGACAAAGTGGTCCGAATATGAATGATGATCTAAAAGCTAGCCACCATGCATCTTGCTTGTGCTTCCCTTTTCTTATTTATTTATCTATTTGCATTTGCTCCGTTCTATTCTATAAAGAAGGCTTTAAGAAGTAATAAAGCTGGTGGCCTATGTTTTAATAGTCAAGAATCAAAACTATAGCGTTTATTTTCTTTCTTTCTTTCAGTTTTCTTTTGATTTTCTTTAAAAAAAAAGCACTCAAAAGAAAAAGAGGTACGGTGAAATGAATGCTAAGTTTAAGTGCGCCATTTAATTTTTGACTAAAATATGAAGATGACGATGGCATAGCCCAATGTTTTTGAGAAACAATAGGGCGCTTTAACATGGGTACGTTGAAACGAGAGAGAAAAGACAAGGTTGTCATGTAATGCTGTTCATCAGCAGCCAAAAGTAAACGAAAAACCAAATTCTTGATAAGCGCATAGGTGTTCAAACACTAGAAAAGCTTTGGATTCGTTAATGCTAAGTTTGAGCGCGCCATTTAATTTTTGACTAAAATATGAAGCTACAAAAGGTTAAGAAAAAAAGAGAAATTTAGATGACAATGGCATAGCCCAGTGTTTCTGAGAAACACTAGGGCGCTTTAACATGGGTATGTTGAAACGAGAGAGAAAAGACAAGGTTATCATGTAATGCTGTCCATCAGCAGCCAAAAGTAAACGAAAAACCAAATTCTTGATAAGCGCATAGAAGTTCAAACACTAGAAAAGCTTTGGATTCGTTAATGTATTAGGTAGGACACTACAGCTGCTCTTGATAAGTGAAGTAATTTATAGAAGTCATATATGCTTTAGCCAATCTATCTTTTCAAAAAGGTACTGACTCAGTTCTACAATCTTGGGAGCACCAGAGAGATCTAAAGGTAATTATCATCACCGTAGACATCGTAAGGAGGATTTTGTGTAGTGGGAAACTACTCAGACCCACTCATTTGCCCCTTTATCGAGTGGCTTTCTCTGCTCACCACTTACTCAATGCTTCATTTTGTGTGGTGTTCGTGGCCTTGTTGCGGAAGAATGAAGAATTTTTCGTGCAAGTTCGGAATTAGTCAACTTATTTTAACATTAGTTGCCAGAAAAAGTGAGAGTGTTTTCAATGTTAATCAGCTGTATTCAATGGACGTGGCTGAATTGTTCATGACAGAAGAATTCCCTGTAGTTCATCAGGTGGGTGGCTCATCGGGGTGCTTTTCCAACCTAATGAACATATAAGAGAATGAACTTATTACAATTTTATAAGGTTATCCAAACTCGATGCACGTGAGGGTGTATAATGTTGTGCTTTCCTCAAATCGATGTTGAAGTTTGAGTTGTCGAGCTATTTCTCTATCCATACGAGAGAGACATCCCGGAAATTTAATACTAGGGCTACGTAGATTTGCATTCTTGACTGATGCGTGAGTTACAAACTACTCATCTAGGACATAGATAAACATTGTAACTATGATCATGACACAATATTCCCGAGGGTTTTCAAGAATAAAGTGATCAAAATAACATCGAATATTCTCTACACATATGGTGAAAGATGCTTTGTTTGTACTGTTGAAAGTCTTTGTTGACTAATCAATGATAAATTTGACTGATTTGAATTCTCTAAGCATGCCAATATAGTCAGAGGTTCATAAAGAGGGTTTCCGAGCTTCTTCGCAATCAGCCGTATACAGCTTAGATCAGAGTCAATCGAGTTTTGTTAACTTGTGATTCGAATCTATTATTTATTGATCTCGAATTGGATTGAAATTCGGCAGTGAAGTTTGTCCGGCGTGAATACGAAACATGTTTCCAGTACATGAACCTTCGGAGGGCGACCCACTATGTGAACAAATTTTCCTGCGCTTGAGCGGGATGCCGTGGATCGATTCTCTATCCTGAACATATTGTACTATCCTTTGTATCTCGACCAATCTCAGTTGCTAAGGTATACCTTATTAACATGCATCGACAATAAGAGATTGTATGAGACGCACCAACAAGAGCACCTTGCTTGACACCCCTTGCCCTGGATATTCGGATGACAAGAAAGTTTTGGAATGTATTAACAAGTAAAGTGTGAAGACTGTAACTCTTGGCCACTTTTTGTAGACTCTCTATTACATCCCAGATGTAGATTGATAGCGAGATCGATCCTATGTCTCGCGGTCCCTAATTCAGTATGTTTAGTTATATTATAAATGCAATGGCTTGTACTCGTTCTAATTTAGTGCATGTTACTAGTAATGTGAGCCGGTGCACGCATGGCTAATCATGATTAAAAGTCGGAAAGCATTATTCAAATGAATTCAGAGATACCGTGATACTTTTCTTGATGAATGTCCGGATTGTATTGGTACTTTGAAACTTGCAATTTGGTCGGTTATATTGATTCAGACTATCCATGAGATTTTAATAAACAAAAAATCTCTACGGGATTTGTTTTTTTTCTAGCGTGATTGGTGGATGCGCGGGTTAGAAGATGATGCTACAAGCTTAATTGACCCAATTTTTTTGTTTAATGAAACAAATTAATATAATGTTTTAAATGGCATATTGCCACTCCGTAAGCAAAATATATGTTGATCCGTACTCCAATTTAGAAAATCATCCAAAAGGAAGAAAACCAAACAAAGTGACCGACAAAATTATTTTTATTGAAGTAATTAGATAGACAGATTTAGTAAGCTTAGCATGAAGCTGATTTGAGAAATTTAGCAACATCCTCGTCAAGCTCCTCATTTATTGTAATTATATTAATAACGTATCACTATATAGGAATTAACTAACACCATTGTCCCCGAACTTTCTTGATCATAAATAAAGTCCAGGTATTATGTACGTTATCGTTCGTATGTACGACGCCTACGTATCTACACCACCGGCGCTGGATCCGGTCTCATCGGCGGAGTCCCATTTTCTGGCGAGATGGTCGCCTCGAGCTCGTTCACGGTCAGCACGACTTCATCGCACTTGGCATGCTTCTTCGCCCTCTCCGCGGCAGTCTTGAAGCGGGAGAGGGAGGCGAGCTCGTTAACGGACTCGGCAACCTTGTCCGTGCAGTCGATGACGTCGATGAGAAGCGAGGTGACGGTGGCGGCATGGACGACGGCGAGGAGGTCGGTCACGTCCTTCCAGGAGGTCGTCTTGAGCAACGACTTGAGGGCTCTCATGGCAATTCTGGACTTCTCAAGGTGGGGAGTCGCGGAGGAAGGGACAGTCATCGTTTTGTGGGAAGATGAGAGTTGCTTCAAAGCACTTGCGGCTTCCATGCTCATCTCTGCACAGAGCTCCTTGAGTCTGGTTTGAACTTGTGGTGGCGCCTGAAAATGACAAGAGCGAGTGATTACATTATTAAGAGAGCTAAAAAAAAAAAGAAAATTTCTAGCAACGCGGGGTTAAGCACATGATTTAACTATCTATGTTTGAATACATATGTCGCGTCAAACATTCATTGGTTAGTAAAAAAATTCTTAGTCGCACCCGTTGCATGTAAGTCTAACTCCCATGCACCGTTGAATAAGGTGGGACTCACGTGAGACCCACATGATCTAACGGCGTATATAAATAGGATGGCCCGGTGCGCCTAAATGCTTATTCCTAATTAATGCAATTAGACATCAACTTACGTGGAATTTAGTGGAGAGGTAGCCATCAAGGGCTTCAATCCTATAGGCACACTGACGAATCGAAGCTCCAATCTTTAGGTATTGCCTCCACGGATGGCGAAAGCCGAACCGGCCGTGACGTGGTTCCCAACTCGCAAAGTTTGCCTGACATAATCATCGTAAAATCATGTGTCAGTATCATGTGAACTCAGTTAAAGCGACAAATCACATGCGTGAGTGTCGACTTGAAATTAGAGGAAAGAATAAGAGAACTTTGTACCCACCAGAGATTCTTCGGTGCTCTTCGACCCAAGCACACTTTTGTATCCTCGAAAAAGCGACTTGTCACCATTCGAGTCACCATCTTCTGATTCTCTCAAGTATTCAACCCTAAATCCTGAGAAAAATATGTATATGTACCGCGTTCAGTTATCTTTTCTTTTCCCTCTAATTGGAATTATATTGTATCGCTTTTGACCTTGTGTTTTAGGGTTTGGTGGAAGGATTCGTGTATACCTTCCAAGAAGTTGGCAAGCTTTTCCATGTTGAGAGCGATGAGGCGGTGGAGGTCTTCGCCGGCCCAGACGGGACACACGATGATGGAGACAATCAGGCAGGTGGAGCCGCCGATGACGACGGTGGAGAGCCGCTTGTGCGCAAACTCCAGTATCTCGTCCTCCCGGAAGCCCGACACCGACACCAGTGCGAACGTGAGTATGAATATCAGCATCCCGTAGTCGTACTTCGCCTTGATTCGTGGGAAGAACCTCATGAACGTCGAACCGGTGGCTGCATTTTGCAACATTATGTCAATCACTGATTCAGCTCAAACAGATCAAACCCTTTTGCTCTTCATTTCTTGAGTGCTTTTCTAATTCTCCATTTAAGATTTTACTATTTTTTACCTTGAAGAAAGACGAAGAAACCAAGCATAATGGGCTCGCCGGTTTTTCCTGAGAGACTCGCCAAGTGATGAGCACCAACACCAAGTGCACCGGCAAGCAATGTAGCAAGTCCTCTATTCAACCCTTTACTTAGAGTGGCCCCTGAAAATGTTTTCTAAGTTAGTTAATAAAAGCATATAAATGTATACGTGGTAGAATTTACACCGAATTCAGCCTATCGCAGTTCAAGAAACAGAGAGACCGAAGGAGCTGACTGTGGGTTTACTGTAGACTTACCGACGTAGAATTCGAAGACGACCACCACGGTCATGACGGCCCACATTGCGGAGACGCCGAAGCTGTTGTAGAGCGGCTGGTAGTAATAGATCAACGACACCAAGGAGAGTGCACATCCTACTTTGACCGAATGAGTGACCCGTCTCGGGTCATCTTGCCCGAGCTTCATCGCCTTCTTGGCCAGCTCCGCCACTTTCACCATCAAGCTCTTGGGCAAGCCCATCAACCGCCTCCATGCGCGAGTGAGCACTCCAGCTCTCTCCTGGCTTGTTGCAACACCCATTTCCAAGCTCTCCATGGCTCAATGAGCGAGCACAAACTTGCATGCAAAAAGAGGAAAGTGATCTTCTCTTCTTTTCTGGAAGAGTAGAGAGCAAGAGGAGAGGGAGGTTTCTCTTGTGATGGTGGGGGTGGAGTCTGAAAATGACTTGGACGTGAAGGGGGAGGTCTAAAGTGTCCTATTTATAAACAAGGAAAAGCATATTGAGATGGCAATAGTGTCAATTTTTTGACCTTGAAAGTTGTACGGTGGGAAGTACAAGGTGGAAATTTCTAAGGAGGTGGGATTGACGACTGAGTGGGGTTATTCGAGTTTCTAACCCCAGCTATGGCGAGTGACTGTTTCCCACTAAGAGCAGCCCACACAGTTGCTCGAAAGAAGACAAATTAGGGTTTGCTCTGGCTGAATAAAAAGGTTTAATAAAGTTCCATAACTATCAACTTTGGCAAAAGGACACTATAAGTGACATAAGTTGTGTACGGAGATTACTTTGCTGCCATAATTTTTTTTTGGATCACTTTGATGTCAATTTTTTTGAAAAACGATCACTTTAGTGCCAATGCCGACGTGGTTGCCGGAAATCTGACGTGGCTCTTTTTTTATTAATTTCTGATGCTGACATGGCTCGCCGGAAATCTGACGTGGCTCTTTTTTTTGCCGGAATTTTGGCCGGAGTCACTAAAGTGATATTTTTTCCTCCGACTTGACATCAAAGTGATCTGAAAAAAAAGTTATGGTACCAAAGTGATCTCCGTACATAACTTATAGTATTTATAGTGTCCTTTTGCTCGTCAACTTTTTAATCCCCTCCATGGCTGTTTCTTCCCTGGCCTGTGGCAACTGGGGACTTTCTTGCCGCGTATATTGTCCTAACTTAAAATGGCACATGTGCGACATTGATGCGACGAGCTATGACTATGTTCATAAGTCAAGGTTTCTTTCTTGGAATTATTGTCACAGGAGCAATTTTGTGTCTGCTCATTAAATATTGGAAATGGTACACACGCTTCGCGTCCTTGGAATTAAGGGAAAAAAATAAAGTGGAAAAGGACAATTTGATATACATTCGCTGAGATAATGGATATCGAGTAACCTTATATTGTTTCGGCTTTCTTTTTACTCTTAATACGTAGTTTAATTTCGACCAAATACCCGATTTTCGTTGTGTATAATAAAATGTCGGCCACGGGAGACTTTTAAACTTTGTTGGTTTATTTTAAATTGATGCTCTTGAAATAAAATTATCAATGTAAAGGAAAAGGAAAGTTACGACAATTTGGCACTCTTTCAATTTTGTGAAGTGACCAGATTTATTTTCACATTAAATGATTTTGAGATAATATATGTGGGGGTAAAAGAAGTGTTGACAATTCCTCGTAAGATATCTTGAAGTTAACCAAACTATTTATAGTTTATATCGATCTCAATAAATGCAAAAGGTCTTTATATTTTAGGTCATATTTACGCTGAATGAATTCTTTATGATTAACAAAACTTCACGAACAAGTCTTAAGGAATGGGAAGTTCACATTGACTTGGAAGTATCAAGGTTTTTATCTACATAACCATCCTCATTGTCAAAGTGTACTGGTTAGAAAAGTTGATCATATTCAAGAAGCTAGAAGCAACGAAATGCATGGATATCAACAAGGTAACTGCGTGAATATCAGCAAGGTAACTGTGTGAATATCAACAAAGCGAAAGCTGGATGTCAATAAGGCGAAGGCTAGATATCAGCAAGGGAAACGCTGGATATGAGCAAAGCACTTAATATCACCGGAATACTTCAATAGTTGAATATTAGTAGAATACCTATCTTACCTGCGACGAAGTTCTTGTCACGATTTTTGAATTTTTATCTAATCCCTTGATAGCTAGTGATCTAGCATGGATTCAAATTATGGAGGGATATCATTGATTATCAATCTCAAAATATATGCGAAAGACTGCAAATACGCATAGCATCTTTGTGGATTGGCAATCACCAAGAAGACTAAGTACTTTCCATAGGTGAGCCATTCTATTTTTGGGAATCAAGATTTGATTGTATGGGCGACCAAATCTATGGGGATTCTAATTGATCGACCACAACAGCTACCTAATCTTCTCTACAATCGTCCAATGGGTAGATTGGAGATTGATTCTCAGAAGATACAATTCCAAATTTCAAGAGAGCTTCACATATTTTTGTTTGTCTTCCGTGAGCATACAATTGTAATCGTTTGAGAGGTGTTGACAGTATTTTAAGTGTGTGCTTAGGTTGAGATAGCTTGGATATAAGCAGCACCTACTTTGTGGAAAACGCTTGTGTGTAAATAAGCACATACGATTGTAACTTCTCACTGATTGATTAATGGAATTCAACCAGCAGTCTGTCAACGTAAGTGATTGGACATAGGCCAACAATAAGCCGAACCACTACAAATTCTATTTACTTGATAGAAACACTGCACAGCCTTACTTGAATATTACCAGAACTTACACATATTCAAATTATGTTTGGCCTGGTTACTCTATTTTCAGAACTTGGAGATTTAATTCCGCACTATTTTGCCAAAAAATTTTAATCACTTATTCAACCCCTCTAGATATATCGTTAGCCAACATCAAGAAGTAGCTCGGGTGGTGCTTGTAATCTTTTCAATCTCGACCCTGATAATATTTTTTATAAAAATTTTCCACTCTAAAATAAATAATTTCTAGTCTGACCACAATGTACCAAAAAATTTGGGTATGGAATCTAGAAGCCACGCGTAAATTATACCTGCTCCCCCCAATACATCAAAAAGAGGGTGCTATGAATAACAAAAATGTTCCTCACGAAGCATTTTTTTTTAAACTTAAACTAAGCTTATATCAATTATAAACTATCGATGGGCTTATTGGAGATCGCAATTATAGAGATTCATTCTTTCTAGATGCGACTAAACGAGTGAGAACAAGCTTGCATGCGTGTCCTTATTCACATGACCTTCCGAACGTTCTGTCCATCGGGGCTCACATGCAATGTTAGTTTAATGTCCATCTGCAACACATTCGAATAAGAATTGCTAGTGAAGGTACCAAAATCGACGTGTCAAGTCTTAATGATCCAAGAAAAACCATGCCCGATTACGAGAAGGAAAGGCTTTGTTAATGAGTGATGATTGGAAATTGCTGTCCTTTGGCTTGATATTGTACGCGAATTCAAGGCCATGCATTCTAATAATTGCACGTTGCCTTGGACCAGGGAATGTGAAACATATGTAATGTCGAATTATGATATTATTAGCATTGATGTTAAATTAACATGTGAGACTGAGCTAATGTAATAGAATGGTGTACTTTTGAAATTAAACTACTTCAATTTTAGCTCTTCAAACTTTCGATTTTTGCCCTTTGACCCTCAAACTACTAGACCGATTTTCAGGATCATGAAATTTTATCTACGTAATGGGTCTTCCATGCACGAAATGCATGAGTTTTAAAGAGTATTGGCCTGGCGAATCATCTCAGTCTACGACGGATCGGATTGTGTGGTTTTGGAACCATCCCGGCTGGTGCTAGGACCATGTGAAATCCACTGTTGTAAACGGTTATAATTAACTCGGTTCATGTTGGATCGGATCTAGATAAGTGCTACCAATAAAGTAGAATTTGAAGGAGTATATGATAAGAGCTTTAGAGTCCATTGGTTAGTACAATATAGAAGTTTCTAATCGGGAAGGACATGGCGGTGGTTTATCCAAAGAGTGCGAAGAGTGGAAGTATTTGATAAACAAATTAGACGTAAAAAATGGACCACTGTTGGGATGGTCCAAGATATTATATTATAATGAATTGGATCAACAGCAATCGTCAAAATAGTCAAAGGGTCAACTCCCTTTTTTTTTGGAACAATAAAATGACTAAATAATGCATTTGACTCGTCTTGGACATAAAAAAAAAATTGAAAATTATTGCTCAAACTTGGCAGGGATTGAAGGGAATATGCCCGCTATTTTTCTATGGAGCACAAAGGCTTTCCATTTATGGTTCCAATACATGAACAACTCTCAACCTTTCTTTCGCCACAAAAGCAGAAAGCAATGATCAAATGCATGGGAATCAAATGCATTGGAGCACAGAAGAGAGATCATATCATATCAAATCAAAAAATCAACATGAACGTTGTCTATTTTTTTTTTTTTGGTAACCAAGGTGTCCGGGCCAGCTTGCGCGCACCTCGACTATTCCTCGGGGGAGACTAGCACAGCAACCCACTGCCATGGCCCCCCACTTAAATCACAAGTGCTCAGCTGGGAAATCGAACCTGGGACCAATGCGCCTAACCACACAATCCCAAGTACGCCCTAACCAACTGAGCTACCCATGGGTGGGTAACGTTGTCTAATTTTAAGCTTCACACTTTGGTACTTTCCTGAGAATAATTTCATTCCCAGTCCCTTTTGAGTATGATTTCATCTTATCGGTCCATGGACAAATCGTATATTAATTCCCAAAAGCACATCAGCTAGCGGTCCAAAATGAAAATCCCATATTGACGTTGAACTATTGTTGATGATAAGTTCTGTCCCAGCTTTCTGATTTTGATGGATTGGAGAGTAGTGAACACAGCACCCCACATGGAACTCAAACCATTTTGGAATCATGTTCTCATGTTGATTGAATTATTTTTTATCACTTTGATTCGTTTATGCACATTCTGTTATAAAACTACTACTTGATAGGCTGTGTTTGGCAACCACTTCTCCAAAGGCTTTTAGGTCTCTAAAAAGGACCTTGAGCAAAAATCAATCCGTTTGTCAAAAAAAAAAATTGGAGAGTTTTGTGAAAATGCATTACATTTCCAAAGTTCTCTAAAGTCGCCTAGCTCAAGAGGTAGGTCCATAGGAGTTTTGGACTTTAACATTTCCCGAATGCTAATGTATTTTGTTCTTCCAACTTCGCTCTTGCTAAACTTTCAAAATTTTGAGAATGCCATCATCATGTGACGTTGCCGGTGAGGCTAGATCTAGTGGCCAGTGACTTTAGTGGAGGCTGCCTGATGTCACATGACCTTGGCACAACTTCAGGCGAGGTTGGTTGGCGTCAGATCTGGCTGTTCGGCGAAGGTTTGAAGTATTTTCTTTAAAAAAAAATAGCAAAAATCATT